TATATTATTGAGCGGTCTCGTAGTTTCTTTACCACAGGTGCCAATTTGTGTTTTTCTACCAACACTGGAAGCGGAATGTCGCTATAGATTGCCACTGTACTCCCTCCGTAGGTTATGTTTCCCTGTGTTCTGGAGAACCTCATGATCGCGTTCTTGACTGTCACATCACGTGTCACCGCTATTACGTCTCTGGAGGTTCCCTCTGGCGCCGCTGGGGATTTCCTGACTCTGAAAACCGAGGTGATCAGTGGTGGGGTTGACCCCCCCTTGATTCTCAGTGAGTCTATGAGGGTCTGTGTATATTGTAGTAGATTATCTATGCCTATTGCTTCTGGGATCCCCCTTAGGCATATATTTCTGCGCCTGTGACGCATTTCTAGCGTTGTCACTGTGTGGTGTAACTGCTGCACTTGTAAGGCCAGGCCCTCCATCTGTGCCTTAGTCTCTTGCTTCTGGCTATTCCTGGCTGCCTCTTTTGCCTCTGTAGCCCAGACTTTATTGTGGACCACCCCCACCTCTGTCTGGACCTCCTGTAGGTCCTCCCTCCATACCTTTCTGAGGTCCAGCAGGAGCCTCTTTATGCCCCCTTTTGTGGCTGGGACTGAGTCCTCATCTGACTCAGGTGCGTCGGATTCCCCGTCCGACTGTGGCGTGGGGAGTTCATCCTGCTCATGGGAGTCCTCTGACGTCTCCTGTTCCTTACTTGCCTCCGGCGCCATCTTTGTTTGCAGCCGCGGCATGGTCCTGTCAAAGGAGAGTCATATGTCTTGAAAGCGGGGTGTCTCCGGGTGCTGAGCTTTCTTATTTATACGCCCCATTGTGTCTGCTGGTTGGTGGGTGAAGTGTGGTAGCTGGTAAGCCTGTATTTTTGGCCAAAGGGCTCTTTTTTGTTTTTTGGGCACAGAGCCTCACATAGAGAACACAGAAGTCTCCTCTAGTGGCTGTCTAGTAGACAACCACTAGAAGAGGACTTAACCCTGTAATGTAAATATTGCAGTTTATGAAAACTGCAATAATTACACTTGCAGGGTTAAGGGTAGTGGGAGTTTTCACCTAAGACCACTCCAATAAGCAGAAGTGGTCTGGGTGCCTGGAGTCTCCCTTTAAGAAGAAGTCCAATAAGACATGGCTTGGCTGGGTCATGGCTGTACAGTACTAATATTAAATACCTGACTAAAGCATTGCTGGGTAAGTGGTTGAAGGGCTTGCCAACAGTTGTGAACAAAACCCTGTTTTTAACAAACAACTTGAGTGACACTCAAAACAAAAACCTGTGGCAGTTATGATCCTCATTTAAAATACCCCTTATGTACTGCTGTGGAAAAATTTAAGGGAGATTAGAAACATAGCAGGATATTGATCAGGATTACAATGCATTTGTTGTTCTTTTAAAGATAAAGATGCTTTGTTTATAGATAATGACACTTTATTTGTTTATAGAATTCTGCTGACCGAATTACTTGGAAGGTTTTGCATTTTATTGAATAATAAAGAACATAGATGAACAAAGAAATAAAGATACACTGGATATATATTTGAAAGTTTTAAGGAAAGTGTTACTTGGTAAAATGTTAACTCAGCATTAAAACAAATTCACAAAGGAAGCAATAGAATGTATTATTATTTTAGATTAAAGACAAAACAGGAGCATACTAGACAGTAGATAACATAATAAGGGAATACAATCACACAAAGAAAAATCTAATTAAATATAGAGAGTTGATACTATTATTCACTCAGTTATAGAAACAATAACAGCTCTAACTGATAAATTTCATTATTTTCACAATATAAGATATTAAAAAATCTGTAAATCAAAGACCTAGACTTTATATTAAAATAGCTTTTAGACTTAGTCAGAGAGTTATACCCTCGTGTATGTTAACAAAACTAGCATATTTAATGTTTAATTTACAAGATTGGTGAAATAAAACATTAACATTTGCAAAATTTGCTAAGTTCCATTTTTACTCTTACTTTTTATTATATGTATATAATATATTATAAAGCCCATGTCACTTGTATGTAGTGCTATTTTTTAAATTTTATTTCTTAAACATATTTGAGTAATTGCATATTTATTTTCATAATCTGTTAAAATCGAGGGGGGGCGTGGCCAACCACCAAACAACCGGGCTGCTTAGGAAATTGCTCCGGCACCCGGGCTCTCAAAATCCAACAACATCCTCTCTCAGAGCACTAAAATACCCCTCAAGATACACAATGTTGAACCCCAAAGGGAAGAAAAATGCACAGAAAAACCAAAAACTGAATTTCTTCAACCAAAAAAAGCAAGTACCTCTGACACTGAACACAGTTCAATCCAATATGGCGCCGATGACCAAACAGCGGGAAACATCCCAAACACGGCTCCATCATATGAAGGTCAAGAAAACCTGACTAAAACGCACCTCGATGAAGCGATGAACACCATGGCTGACAAACTTCTAAAAACATGGCAATCCTCCATCGGACAACTCCGTAAGGAGATACAAGAAATTGGCAGTAGAACCGCACACGTGGAAAATAAGCTAAGCGAGTTTGCTACAGCACACAATGACATGGCGGACCATGTGGCAACTCTGGAACAAAAAATAGAAATCGTGGAAGCACGTATGGCTGATGCAGATGATCGTTCACAGAGGAACAACCTCAGGCTGAGAGGAGTTCTGGAGACCATCATGCCGCATGATCTGCAGGCCTACGTTCAAGACCTACTGCGGGCATACGCTCCAGATATACCCACAGATATGCTATTGGTAGATCGGGTGCACAGAGTCCCTAAGCCACTAAACTTACCTGATTCAATACCATGAGACGTCCTCCTGAGAGCAAGCAGAAACCGCATGGACCCTCATGAAAACTACACAACAGTCAAAATACTAGCGGATTTATCCGCGGCGACCCTCAAGCAAAGAAGGTACTTCCAAACAGTGATGGAGGAATTGCGACACGCTGGAATTAGATACCGCTGGGGGTATCCTACCAAGCTGCTAATCACAAGGAATGGCGGCCTGAAAGTGATCCACACACCAGACGAGGGTACCCAGATGCTGAAAGAATGGGGGCTCACAACAAACTCCCCCACGACTCAGGCAAGCCCAACTAGGCGAATGCAAGCGGAATGGTGCCAGATCTCGGCACAAGCCAAGTCCCCATGACTTACCTGATGAACAAGGCAGTCAAAGGCCGCAACCAGGGACACATGAGATAATCCCATATACTACTATTATACTCAAAAGTTTTATTTTTACAATGTTCACTGCTTTGATTAGCATGTCATTTATACAATAGCTCAATTATTCACACTAATTAACATTCACTAATGTGTAAGGTACCCCTTCCATACGGTAGTCAAGGTATACAATCGGAGCCGGAGATGGCCTGTATAATACGTGCACACAAGGAAAGAGGGGACATTGATACGCCAGGGGTAAAACTGATGCATAATGTTAAATCCACTGAATGATGTTTTGCATGTAAAGTGGTTGAATATTAGGGACGCAAACAACTGCGCCAGACAACCTTGCTGAGTACAGACTGATGTGTTAAAGATTTTATTTTCATGTTATGTTTTGCACATACTCACCGCTTTGATCATCATGTTAAGTATACAACAGTTAAATCACTCAAATATGTGGCACATATACCACCTATATAAATATCACCACTGCTCTAAGAGCCATAGAAGTGTGTTAAGCAAAATGGATAAATATGGCGGGCACAAACAACCACGCCAGACGAAAAAAAAAAAAAAAAAGGCTGAAAATAGAGCAATGTATTTACAAGTTTTATGTTCAGGTTATGTTTTGCAGCTGCTTATTGCTTGGATCAGCATGTTAAGTACACAACAACCAAACCACTCACATATGATAGCAAGTTTAAATGCAGCATGTACACTATACACGTAAATATTAAATTACTGCTCTGAGAAACCACAAACCTTAGTAATTACGAGAGCCCATTGGCCACACTGATAGAGACGCTGTCTATGCGTCCATCCCCCATGGCACATTACCAAAGTGACCCACGTTTGGGTCAATTTGTATATACCTTGTCTTTTACTCCTCCTCTTCCCCACCTCCTTTGATCGCCTTACTCCCAGGCATCAGAACACAACCGCACAATTGCTGTCTACGTGGCACATCAAGCCACCCCTGTTAACACCACAGTTCCATATAGTTTCCGTAGAATTGCAAACGAGCAACACCTACCACAAACCCATTAAATGAAAATATATTCACACAATTGCAGGGGGCTGAATACCCCCCATAAAAGACGTATGGCATTAGAGGGAGCCAAACATAACCAAGCGGACATTATATGTCTACAAGAAACCCACTTTGTTAACTCTGGAGTGCCGAGCTTCGGCACACAAAATTACCCCCATCAATACCACGCAGCCCACTCCTCCAAATCGAGAGGAGCCTCCATCCTCCTGCACTCATCTTTAACAGTAGAATTACTACACGTTACAAAGGATAAACAAGGTAGATACATGATGCTTCAATGCCTTATAAAAAACTCACCATATATTATAGTCAAGTTCTATAGCCCAAACATAAACCAACGAAACTTTTTACATAAGATACTCTACATGATCCCATCCCACCAAACTGCCTCAGTCATGTGGTGACCTTAACCACCCTCTCAACCCACACATGCACACTACACTAAACACCACAACACCAAGACATAAAGTAGTAAAAACACAGAGCAGGGCAATAAATAAATTGCTAGGAGAATATGACCTATACGACTCCTGGAGAGCATATCACCCAAATGAGAAATCGTTCTCCTTCTATTCGGAAGTACACAAATCATATTCAAGGATTGACTTCATTTTCCTAGCAGGCCCACTGCTTCCTAGGGTAGCAGGCAGTAAAACAGGGGACATAACATGGTCAGACCATGCCCTGACCATAGTGGAGCTAACTGAGGACTACCAACATAGAGGGAGACCACCGTGGCATCTGAAGGACTCACTACTATGTGATCACATGTTTTCCAAAACACTATCAGAAGTCCTATACTCGTATTTCCAAATTAACGACACCCCAGATGTACACCCGACCACTGTGTGGCAAGCACATAAAGTGGTCATTCAAGGCCTCATTATCAGTCGAGCTTCCTATCTGAAAAAGAAAACACAACAAGAACATCTACATCTGCTGCGCACACTAAGAGACACGACGACAGCGAACATACCAAACCTGACACCACAACTAGCACAGGTATTACAAGACACCACAACACGCATCAACAACATAGCACTCTCCAAAACCACGCATATATTACACAAACTGAAACAGAAAACATACTCACAAGGCAACAAAGCTGGAAAGCACTTAGCGACTCTACTAAGACAAAAACAATCCAGCACCAAAATTCCATACTTACTCACACCTAAAGGCTCCAAAATCCACAACCCACAGGACATCAACGACACCATGGCAACTTATTACCACACACTATACAAGCTCAAAGATAATCCTAGCCTACACCAACGCACACCCCAGGAAATTCAAGATTTCCTCTAATTATCCTCGCTGCAGACACTGACGGAGCGACAAAAAAACAAATTGCAAGACCCAGTTACACCTCAGGAAATACAACAAGCCATACACTCACTCCCCCTCTGTAAATCTCCAGGTCCAGACGGACTCACAAATTCCTATTATAAAACTCTGACCACAGTCCTTACCCCCCACCTGGAGAAAACCTTCAACCCTATCCTCACGACAGGCCAGATACCCCAGGACATGCTCATGGCACATGTAGCTACATTACCAAAACCGGGCAAACCTCCAACAAAATGCCAAAACCAATCTCCCTTCTCAACACAGATATTAAATTACAAACAAAAATGTTTTCCAATAGACTAACGAATATCATTCCAACTCTAATACATGAGGACCAGGTGGGATTTGTTATTGGCAGACAGGAAGCGGACGGGACCCGAAAGGTTTTAGACCTGCTGGAAGGGGGACGAGGGGGGAGGGCCCAGTGCGTGATCAATTTTCTGCATCAATTGATGCAGAAAAAGCTTTTGACAGGCTACACAGGCACTTCCTTCACGCAGTCCTGATCAAATATGGCTTCCCCGATGCCTTCTTAAGGTTGGTGGGAGTGCTGTATTCCAAGCTGACGGCAAAGGTCACAAATGGAGGATTTATCTCCAAACAAGTCAGTATAACTAACGGATAAAGACAGGGCTGCCCACTATCACTCTTCCTTTATATCCTCTCCCTAGAACCACTCACACAACTCATTAGAGACAACCCGAACATGCATGGCATCACAACACAGGGCAAAGAGCATAAACTCACATTATTTGCGGACAATGTCCTATTAACACTGGAGCAACCATATATCTCTACCAAATTTCCACAATATACTCTCCCAATATAGGAGATGCTCCCATTATAAGCTCAATGTTAAAAAAACACAAGCAATGGGCATAAATATCCCAGCAGACGAAATGGGCAGACTACTCACCTCCTTCAAATATGACTGGCACAATGACCATCTTAAATTCTTAGGAATCAATATTACCCCAACCCCAGCAAACCTCTATAAAACAAACTACCAAAAAACACTGACTGAGATAAAAACTTTACTATTGGGATGGAAGGGCAAATAGAATATCCGCAATCAAAGTGATTGTTGTACAAAAACTACAATATCAATTTAGAACATTACCTATAAAAATACCACCAAGATTCCTACAAGAAGCGTAACAAATACTACTAAACTTCATCTGGGACAAACACAAACCTTGAGTAGCAAAAAGCACGCTATATATGCCACGTATGAAAGGGGGGATGGGAGCACCCAATTTAGACAGCTTTTACAGAGCAGCTATTCTAGGCCCCCTATTGGTGGATTGCCACCGAGACCGCCCAACCTAATGGATGGAACTGGAGATGCAACATGCTAATAATATCCCCATCACCATATTGGCATGGCTTCCTCAACATCACAGGCCAACAACGAAAGAGCTGCTCCCAGCCACAGCACTAACTCTGACCATATGGGACAGGTACTGCCACACAATGGGCTGGACAAGCAATATTTCACCTGCCACACCTATAAAAGCACTACATCACATGATTCCAAACTTTAATTATACTTTGTGGCACCGACATGGAGTAACACACTTACATCACCTACTTCAGGGAAATACACTTAGAAGTCTCACAGATCTAACAGCCTCCTACCATCTAACCCGAATGGCTTCCTTCTCTTATCTGCAGCTACACTCATGGTTCAGCAAACAAACCATAACTGGGACTGAAAATGTACAGGGGCAACAGCTGACGGTGGTAGAGAAAATATGCTCACGCCTCTCACCCCCCAAAAACTAATCTCTGAACTCTACCAAACGATGCATACTCAAAATGACCACACAAAACTCTCATTCATTGCAGCATAGGAGAGAGAATTCACATACGCTCTCAACACACAACAATGGAAGGAAATTCTCCTTACACACAACACTCTCTCCAAATGTGCCTCACACATGGAGCTATCTAGAAAAATCTTATACCGTTGGTACCTAGTACCCACACGTATAAATGCAACTTACCCACAGGCCTCTGACATTTGTTTGGAGGTGCCAACAACATAAAGGCACAATGCTCCACATATGGTGGGAATGTCCCTCCCTAACCTCCTACTGGGACAAAATAACTACCATTATACAGGACAGTACACAAACACTTCTACCTCGCAAACTAGAAACATACCTTCTCCAGCTGTTTCCAAAGGGAATACAGGGGAGACAGAAATACTTAAATTAAAGGGGGACCTATTGCTCCCCCCCGGCCCACACCCACCATTCAGGGGGCCTACAGTAAAATAGGAGGGGAGGACCTAATGTCCTCCCACCTGGCCCCCATCCCTAATACCGTGGGAATTAGGGAGTTATCTACTTATTCATTCCTGTCATTACACGGACTGCCTAAGTAACTTACATTTTATATGAATGTATGTTACTTGATTGTTGTAAGTGTTGCAAATGCTTACAGCTGAATTCTGGCTATGTTTGTATACGTTTTATTTAAAATTGTATACAGTGTAACATTCTTCATTCTTCCACTGGGTAAGTATATTAGTTCTTAGGCAATACTGTGCTTCGGGACTTCGGCACTTCGACACTTCAGAACTTCGGCAACTTCGGAACTTCGGCAATTTGACACTTCAGAAATTCGGGAATTTCTGAATTTCGGGACTTCAACCATTTGGCAATTCAGCAATTCATCTATTCGGACATTCGTAAGTACCCAAATGTCCGAATTACCCGAAATTCGTCCGAATTCACATTTGGATCAAAACGAATTGCACATGTCTAATCTTTTCCTCTGTCAACTGACTTAACTGTGATGGGTTTATACTTGTAAATTGAAACATGTTCAAATAAAAAATTACATGTATTGTATCACTTAAGGCAAGTTGTGTAGGGAAGTTCTAAATCTAATTGAAAAGACCAGATAGATGTTATAAAACTTTGTAACAATAAGATGTCCTGATGAATTGGAGCAACATTTTTCAAAGGTTATTAATTTTAGTCATACTATTTCTCTCATTTTATAAATTAATAATAGCCTGATAGGGTATTTTTCCCTATAGCGAAATGATGAGAGTGAAATTACCCAAATATTTTCTAATAGACCAGCTCCAGTCCTGAGCCCACAAAACCATCAAAATACAACAAACTGACCACCTTTTGGCTATCCAAATGACCGAAAATGAGTGGAGGAATGCCTCTATATTGCATAGTGACTAGTTTGTAACGGGAGGTCCTGAAAATTTGAGGGCCTAGATATAATTGCATGCCTGAGGCATCGACATGGCAACCAGAGGCCTTCAGCATGTCCTAGGCAAATAACTCTATTAAAGAGATAATTAACCACTCAATATCCGCACCAACAGCCAGGGGCATCCATGCCATGACCTTGCCTCTCCCTCCGGGGGGGGAGGGCAGCGGGTGTCATGCAAACTAACAAGGCCTTCGAGTGCCCTCTGCAGTGCTGCATACCTGGTGGGGCAGTGCAGGCCAGTAGATCTATGTCTCATGGGGCCAACTTGTTGAACTATACCTCCGGTCTCTTAACTGATTATTATACCCCTTGGTGGGGACTGATGGCAGACCAGGACGCTTGACTATTTTGCATGAAAGCTGATTTTTTTTTTTATTATCATTATTATTTCTTACCTCCACCATGACAAGAGACTGAAAGACATTTCATATTTTGCATCGCTCTGTCAGGAGACTTCACAGTTGTTTTCAGTGATTCCAAATCACCCGTTGTGCGTGCCAAGTAACAACCTAGTGGGGAGTCCAACCCATGTTCACTGGAGTACCTGCTGTGGTCTTCACGCAGGCTTTTAAATTTTAACACTTAGCTGTGTACAAGTACACATACAGGTCTAAGACACATATTTTTAATCCCTTTTAGTAAAAAAAAAAAAAAAATTACTTTTCCTTTAAGACCTGAAACAAGTCTGCATTGTTATCACATGTTTTATTGATGTAACGTCAGTTAATGTTGAATCTTAATGTTTGCTATTTTGCTAGAGCTGCTGTGTTGTTACCACATCCCATAAGCCTAAATTGTCTTGTTATGCACTAACAGATTATCATGTCTTAATCACTAACCATGCTTCAGCACTAATCTGAAACTTTTCAGATGAGTACAATTAGATGATACATTTGTGTCACTTATGAGCATTAAGGCTATGTTTTCCATTGCTCAAAGTGGTTTAATATGTTTATCTCAACCTAGATCAGGGCGGCCAACCTTCGGCACTCCAGGTGTTCTAGACTACATCCCCCATAATGCTCTTACACCCATAATGCTGGCAAAGCATCATGGCAGGTGTAGGCCAAAACATCTGGAGTGCCAAAGGTTGCCTATGCCTGACCTAGATGCATGGCTGTGATGACTTAAGTTACATAGCCCGTACACAAATTCACAACACCTTCAAAATAGTGATACTCTTTTTGCATTTTCTTATATGGTTAAGCTAACTACTTGCATAGTCATACTCGCGTACAGCCAAAGTTAAAATGTAATCTCCTTGGTAACAGACCTCAGCTTTGAGATTTCCTAGTGTGGTATTTTTGATTAACGCATGTGTTAAATGTTTTTATTTGTCTTCTTCTGCTGTCTACTTGAGCATTGTAATGATTTGCTGTAAAGTGCTAGCTTTTTCTGACCTTTTATGTGAAAACACAATAAAAACAATTTTACACAAATATTGTCTAACTTCACCATACATATAATGTTTTATAAATAACACAAATAAGAATTTAAGGGAAAAAAAAAACAACAACTAAATATCATGGATCTCAGACTCTGAGCACCTAGATGCACCTAGATGTTGATTGTGAATGTAATAAATAGTTTTAGTTCAACGTCATCTGTGGACACAATTTAAATGCATGGTTTAGAGAGACTACATACAGTACAAGCAGAACCCTCCCTCATCAGGGAGAGACACTCCAATCAGTATCATACATGAGTTAACATACTGG